ACAATAGCCCTCCTCCTCCTGCACTTTTCCTCCCCCGTCTCTGAGGCGCAAACCTCCATAATCCACTCGGAAATCTCCCCCGGCTCAATCTGATCCAAGTTAGTTTGAAAAGTCTTGGATTTGTGGGATTCTGGGCAGCAGTGTTAGCAGTATGCACAGGTTTGGCAGCAGTATTGGGACTTGTTGATGCAAAGTCCCTGGTCCTCCCTGGTCCCCAGTGGTCCCCAGTGGTCCCCAGTGGTCCCCAGTGGTCCTCAGTGGTCCTCAGTGGTCCTTAGTGGTCCTCTGAGAGCTGGGAATGTTGCTGCCTTTAGCTCGACGGTTCCTTTGGTCCACATTGATTGCTAGTCCACTTGTTTTATGCTCTCTTTGGGACTACCTCCTTTTTACTTTAATCTATGTGAGACTTTTATCCGGATGTTAGGTGAGTTCTTTCATCTTTGTATCTTGTTGACACCTTGTTCTAACATGGGTAGATTATGGCTAGGCTCACCTGTTTTTATGACCCTAATACTGTTTTGTCTTGTCTATCATTAAGTATGAGGTCAGACATCATTTGGGTTAAGCCACGATCAGTAAGATTTAGCATTTCAAACCAAATTAATCTCTGGAGCATAGGTTTATCCCACTATAAAAAATATACTTTTAAATAAAATATATAACTTTTAAAATCACTGTAGCGATTAGCTTAGATCTGAATTTAAAGACTGGTTTCTCACTTACAACTTTGTCATGAGTTAGTGTATCCAGACTTCTCTTTCTTTTAGATAATTGCATAGGGTTAACCTTTTTTTTTTTTTATCCCAGCATTGATTTAATATTATTCTGTGTTTTATCATTTAATATATATTAGTGTGAATGGCAGTAAGACGAGAGAACCTTGTCTTCCATTCACAGTAGTGAGAAGTAAGACGAGGTCCTTGAAGTGGTCTCTCAGAGGAAGCCCCTGCCCCCATCTCGTCCTGATTCTCTCTCTGACATATCTGTGGCGGCGCAGCTGTAGTCCTGACGATAGTCCCAATAAAACCTCCTTATTTACATCTCAATAGCAGGCGCCATGTGTGGCCAGCGCCACTGCCACAAACATGCATTGGCCACTACCCGGTGGCTTCCCTTTGTCTCCTGCACAGAACTAGGCTTCTAATGCATGACATTTGTGTCAAGAAAATATATGGTATTTTGCTATATCTGAAATATGTTTTTTCTAGCTAAATGTTTCAACCATTCCTGGGTTATTTAGCCCATAAAAGGCTTTACTTTTAATCACTGTGGTGAGTAATTTTAACCTGAGGGAAGCATGTTTGAGGGTTAAATGTTTAGTTTAACTGTTATTTGAACGGAAACATTCTAATACAATTTGCTTTTAGGATCTTTTTCAAGCTTCTCAATATTTTTGTATATCGCCCTAAATCACAACAGTAGTTACCTTCGTTGACTTTACAAAACTGTTGAATTTGCCAACATAGATCAAACACATAGCACCATTGGTCCATAAGGGCCAGAGACCAATGTCCAGAAATGTTGTTAAATGTCTTTACCATAATAAAGAAAATCGATATGAAAAATGACTTATTCTTGGTACTTGGAAATCCACACCTATAGAAAGATCCTAATGGTTATGGTTAGGGCATATGGTTTCAAAGTAAAGTCTGTAATGTAACTTTCAAAGTGCTGTGTTCGGCATGAGTTGAGATAAAAGTGGAGAGGAAGCATCTGTTTTCTCCTCTTGGTGCAGATCAGCGAGGGCTTTGGAGGTGACTCCGGGGGCAGGACCTGGTGACCTCAGCTTTGTGGACCTGTCCCAGAGCGAGCAGAGGAGAGAAAGCTTTGTGCAGCGTCTCTGCTGCTGGAATGCTTTAGTTTCAGTCCAAATACCACAGGAACATGTACCGTAAGGCAACAAGAGTCCAGGTTTAAAAGAGAAAGACCATGGCCTCCTAGTCTGACCACTTCAAAACAACGATCCAGGACAGATGCAATAAAGATGAAAATAAAACGAGAAAAAAACTAAACTTGCCTTTTTCTTAACTTCCTGTTTTTCAACCCATTTTCAAATCTTGAAAATCAAATTTCTTGCCATTGCCTACATTGGACTACTAAATCCTCCAAATATTGTGATTCTTGTTATACGATTTCTGATATTGACGTTACAAAAGTTAAATTATTACTATATAAACTATAGTGTATAGGGACTTACAACCAAATGTCTTCTTTATTAAGAGTACATTGCAAAAAATTATATCGTATAGTAAAGTATAGTATAGTACAGTTAAGTATATAGTATAGTTTTTCCAATTGAAGTTTTTTAGAACGAGCAATAAAAAAGCAATTTCAGTTTCAGGCTTATTCATTTTAGTTAAATTATAATCCAATTAAAGTGATAGTTTTTCTTATTTTTATGTATTATTGTTATCATTATTGCAAGGGACTTGATGCTTTGCTATCTGCATCCATAAATAATGTCTTTTCTTTTAACATTTTAAAGGCAGAACATTCAGGACTGTTTTGCTGTAGATTGATGGGATTATGAAGTAATACAATCACTCTAAAGAGATTTCCTTATTTACAATAAACACAACCAAAATATATATTAGTAATAATTTTTTTTACATGGCGCCTTTCTGGGGACTCAAGTTCACCATACAAAAAGTACAAATAGTTCAGTTAAAAGCATTGAGGTGAAGATGGACAGTGGAATGTAGGGTCACAGTGAATGAGTCTGAATAGTGTTCTTAAGTGAGATAAGCACTAAAAGTTACATTTTCCATTGGAATAAGCAAATAAAGTTTTACCAGCAATAATTCCTCACTTAGAACGAGGCAAAATTGGGATTGTGCTGGGTCTACATTCAAATATTTCTCCACTGTGGAAACTCTGGCTGTTTCCTGTAACGTATTAAAGGGCCTTCGTTGTTTTTATTGTTTAAATTGTTTTATATGTTTTTTGTTTATCAGTCTGTTGTGTCTGTTGTGGACGACAACATTGAGACAAAAGCTATTTTTTAAGGTAAATCCTATTATAAGAACTTCCAAATGGACTAAGATTAAGTTGCAGTTTCACAAACTCAAGCGATAATGAAGCTAACGCCTTTTTTGCAGTGTCAAGTTTAATAATCAGCTTCAGCAAGTTAAAAGATGTGATTTATATGTTTTAAAGGCAGTTATTGTTCAACTGTTACTGCATAAACGATATTGTATAGATTATATAGACAACTTCAATCAAATCAAGTTGCATTTAATAAGCGATAATGAAGTGTTTGGCATTTTTGCCGTGTCAAGTTTAATAATCAGCTCCTGTCTGATTATTAAAGATTTAAGTTAAAGGTTAAACAGAGGCTTTTGTGTCTGCATCAGTGGAGCTCGCTCTGGGACAGGGGCAGACGACAGATTGGGCCGATCTGATTGTGTAAGATTGTTCATTCTCTAAGTCTCCCCACCCTCCCTCCCTCCCGCCTGCTGGGTTTATCATGTTCTCCTCTGGTTGTATGACCTGGCCATATGGCTCAGGTCCAAACCCCCCCCCAATCATGAGCTCATAAATGATGAGCAAAATGATGTCTCCTTTTGTTGTCTGACTGATCAGTCAAGTTCTTTAACCTCAATAACCATAAAAGCACTGTGTGTGTTTAGCCACAAGAGGGGACTGTGGATCTACTCGTAAACGCCAAGTGGAAGTGGAAGTTGAAATTCAGTCAGTAATGGCATGGCAAGTTAATTTGTACACAAGGCATTAGAATCATAAATTATCACTTTAGATTAGAATTGATATATATAAAATCCCTGGATTTGAAAATTGTCAGTGAGGAAGCCCGTCTCACATTTTCAGGAGGACTGTTCCAGATTTTAGCTGCATAAATCTGAAATGCAGCCTCCCCATGTTTAGTCTTGTTCCAAAGAGCTTGTAGTTTAACATGGTGGTTGAGGGTAACTGGTAACTGTCAAAAGTCTTAAGGTTTCAGTTGATTTGTCTGTAATCTGAATTTCCCCCTCTGGGATGAATAAAGCTTCTCTTAATCTTAAACTTAAATCCAGGGCCAATCCTTATGAAACAAAAACTGTGACAAAGTTCCACCTCTTCTTTTTCAGTACATACCAACTATGGTCTCAATATTTTATCATTAATGTGACGAGAAGTGGTATTCAAAGAGTAAAGAACCTTTACTCGTCCCACAGTGAGGACATTTCTGTGTTGCAGCTTCATAAAGGACAGTACTAAGAACACACAAGGACCAAAGATAAATACATGTGAAAGAATCATATTTATTTCTATTGCCATTTTATGTAACAGGATGTCACAAATTCGTAATTTGCTTTGAGGTACAATAAAGTTATAAAAAGTAATACTTATGTATAATGAATCGATAAAATATATTTTAATAAAAAGTTATATAAATAATTGTCAAAAGTTGTAGCCTGAATGAGAAAATAATGAAATTGATTTAAAAAGTGAAGTGAAACTGGAAGAGATTTAGAAAATACAAATTTCTTTACTCCATGACAATATGCAATAAGGACAAGAAGGATTCAATAATAGTCCATCAGCTTTGCTGAAATTCCATACTATTAAAATCAAAGTTGCAAAAATCTCGTATTGAAAAAATCATACAAAATTCAGCCGATTAAATAAACTGCAATTCTTTGTATTCTTATATCGCCCTAAATCACAACGGCTATTGCGGAGGGCTTTTATTCTCTGATCTGTGTTGGGGAATCGACAGCTTTGCAAACAACAGTTCAAAAAAATTAAATGCAACAATAACAAACACATAGAGCCATTGGTCCATAAGAGGCAGAGACTACTGTCCATAAATGCGTCTTGGATCATTACTACTGTCCTTACACCCTTCAAATATTAAACCCAAAAGTTCTCCCGACAGGTCTATTTTGCCATATCATAATTTGACTCTGTTTTGCCTTCGTCCTGGTTTTTGTTGTATTTAGTGACGTTTGCACCACGGTTCTTAGTGTGTTGTGTTCCTTCCTGCTCCCAGGAGAATCAAAATGGTGGACTTAGTAGCTCAGAAAATGCCCTCTGAGAATGACGTGCACGTGGCCAGGAGCTTTCTCACCAAGATTTTACGCAGTTCAATGAGGTATGAATCTGTGTAGCGTGTGTTTCTCATCCCATCCCACCTACAATCATAACCTTCATGTCTGAAACCTCACCATCATCTCCTTATCCACCACCAGTAAGATTTGCTGGAGGAAATCAGTTAGACCAATGACGAAAGGCCCATTTTGATTAATTGGGAAGCTCTGCGGGTGATTGTCTAACCTGGAGGCCAGTCCCTGTGCTCCTCAGAGAATCAGCATATCACCAATAAAAGCCAAAATAGTGGTGCATCCCATCCTGTCTCTGCCAGTGTAGATCAACCAAGTGATTATTTGGGGGGATTAAGAGGATTCAGTGGATGATTTAAACCAATGGCTCTTACAGCTTGATTAGATCATTTTGAAATGACCTCATTAGCATTAAGATGTGATGAATTGCCCTGTGATCACCTGCTTACATGTTTGTGGGAGTGTCTGTGATTGCTCGTGGTGCATCCCATTTGTGTCTCCATGTAAAAAGCAAACCTGGCCTTTCTCTGCATTTTTTTTTCCATGCATCTCAGAAAGAACCGTTTCAAAGGGTAAGATTTCACCCGGTCAAAAGATTCCTGCAATAATGTTGTGTTCCCATAGCTTCTGTGGCTGCATCATTCTAAACCACTGGGATTGGTTCAAAAGATGTTTTTAATACTGCGTATGATTGGTTCTAAAGAATAGTTTTATACTGCGTTTAATTGGTTCAAAAGTACATTTTTATAATGCATAGGATTGATTCAAAGGTAAATTTTTATACTGCGTGTGATTGGTTCAAAAGTACATTTTTATACTGCGTATGATTGGTTCAAAAGTACATTTTTATGCTGCCTAAGTAAATGGAAGAATGTAGGATTTTCTTTACGACTCAGTCTCTTATCCTGGTTTTTTGCGTGCGTGTGTGTGTGTGTGTGTGTGTGTGTATGTGTGCCTCTCTCTGTTGCTGTCTCTCTGTTTGTGTGTGTGTGTGTGTGTGTGTGCCTTTTCTGCAGGAGGAATGAGCCCATTGGCAGGCCTCACTCTTGGCACTCGACCAAGTTCAACGAAAACCAACTGGAGCCAACGAAAACGCAGTCTCCGCCCACCCCAGTCTGGCACAGCAGATATGACGCGAGGTAAGAACTTTGCATCTGTAACAGGAACTGGATTAGGACTATGATATATTTATTTGTTTTGAATATTATTTGCTTCTCTGGACATTAGGACAGCAGTTAGTTTGCCTTAGAATTGTGGTTTAAAATAGCCGTATAGGTCTCTTTTAGTTTGTTTGCAGAGGTCTTAATTTTTTTTTGAGGAAATAGTTTTTTAGAATAACTACAGTCCCATCTCATAGTGAAGGGCAAGCTTTAACTGAATTGTCTTCATTAATGGCAACAACGGTCAGGATATAAAAACTCACAAAATTAGAATACCATTCAAAAGTCTGTTAACTTCTGTAATTCACCTTGCAATGTGAAACTATAATAACAGACTTACATGCAAATATATTTGTATACATGTATCAAGAGTTCAGAGCTTCCGGCTCGACCGCACGGCATCGTGGGTAATTGTGTCAAAAAGGTGGTCATCAAATCACGCTGCCATATTGGATTACTTGTTGCGAACGTGACCTTTCTCTCTTGTTTCCAGCCCATAGATTGTTTTAATAGCTAAAAAAATCACCAATTTCAGACATTTTGAAGGTAAGGTAAAGATTTTTTCATTTAACAAAAAAGAAATGCATTTTTTTCTTGTGGTTTTAGATGTAAACACAACCGACTGACTATAGAGCTACATGCAGCTTATTCTACTTACGAGGATAAATAACATTTCTGATCAGAGCATTCAGAGTGGGGACATTATTAAGAACAAACAGTGAGCTGGCAGTATAGAGAGGTTTGCAGTAGGCTTTAAACAAAGTTATTTTCACTTTATATGTACACATGTGAAATCTCCGGGCTGAAGTGTTAGCCTGTCCATACAGCTTACAGTACTGCCTCTGAATGTCATCGTCTTCACTGAGGTCACTCCTGATTACGTGCCCCAGGTATTTGGCCTTCTCTTCATTCAGAAGCTCCACACCAGACAAATATGTCCAAAGTAAAAAAAATCTTTACCTTGCCTTCAAAATGTCTGAAATTGGTGAATTTTGTTGCTATTAAAACAATCTATGGGCTGGAAACGAGAGAGAGATCACGTTCGCAACAAGTAATCCAATATGGCAGCGTGATTTGATGCCCACCTTTTTGACACAACTACCCACAATGCCGTGCGGTCGAGCCGGAAGCTTGGAACTCTTGATGCATGTATATATCAAGCAAGTATTGTTGCATATATTCTGCGATATATTCCGATTCATGTCCCTCATATTATTCAAAGATATTACAAAGATGGAGGAGAATAAGACTCTCGTGACATTTATTATGGTCTGCACATGAACTAGTGCTAAAACGTTATCCTTGAACATTCAGGACGCTGGACCTTATTACAGACAAGACAATCATTCTCTGAAAAGACGACTCTCATATGAATGGGAAGCACCCAGCACATCACAACAAGCAGACATTTTAGAGGAACAAGTAGACATCATAGAGTCACAACAAGGACACATTATAGAGGAACAAGTAGACATCATAGAGTCCCAACAAGCAGCATCATAGAGTCCCAACAAGCAGACATAGAGTCACACCAAGCAGACATCAGAGAGTCCCAACAAGCAGACATCAGAGAGTCACATCAAGCAGACATCAGAGAGTCCCAACAAGCAGACATCATAGAGTCACATCAAGCAGACATCAGAGAGTCCCAACAAGCAGACATCATAGAGTCACATCAAGCAGACATCAGAGAGTCCCAACAAGCAGACACCAGAGAGTCCCAACAAGCAGACATCAGAGAGTCCCAACAAGCAGACATCAGAGAGTCACATCAAGCAGACATCATAGAGTCACACCAAGCAGACATCAGAGAGTCCCAACAAGCAGACATCATAGAGTCACATCAAGCAGACATCATGGAGTCCCAACAAGCAGACATCAGAGAGTCACATCAAGCAGACATCATAGAGTCACATCAAGCAGACACCATGGAGTCACATCAAGCAGACATAGAGTCACATCAAGCAGACATCATAGTCACAACAAGCAGACATCATAGAGCAAGAGAGACCTCAGATGGAAATGACCGGAGGAAACTTAGAGAAAATACTTAAGTCCTACAGATCAATATTTCATTAAACATCACAATACTTTGCGGAATATTTTTTTTCCTCACCACTGTTGTCAGCTCTTTTCTCACCCATTGTTTGTTTCTCCTTCACCAGCTCCTCATCCGCAGACCTCACCTCCAGCTGGGAGCAGACAAACCTTTGTCGGGTCTCAGACCAGTTCAGCTCCTTGGGCAGCATGGACAGCCTAGAGCACGTCCCACACCCTTACCCCGCTGGTCCCCTCACCCCTGCCAAATCCAACAACAGCATGGAGCACCTGGGAGGAGGAGGAGGAGGAGGAGGAGTAGGAGGTGGAGGGAAGAGGGACTCTGCATACAGCTCCTTCTCCACCAGTTCAGGCACTCCGGACTACACTCTGTCCAAAAGCAACACCGCCTCTACGGAGAACGTCTTATTCAAAGTCAGCCAATGGGACACAGGAGGCAAACCCATGAGCAACAGAAACCCCCAAAGTGAAGCTCGACCAGACGACCGGCTCACGTATTTCCAAATTCCAGGATGTGAGGGTCAGCACAGTGAAGACCAGGCCGGCTCCAGGGTCTCCACCTCTAGCCGCTCCAGCTTCGGCCCGGTTTGGCACGTGCCGGAAAAGACCAAAAAGACCTCCTCGCCATCGCCGCCTCCTCCCGCTCCTCCCACACGCAGTGACAGTTTTGCCGCGACGAAGCAACATGAAAGGGTGCACTCTACTGGTCACTTTGAGGAACCGCACGTGAAGATGGCGATGGACCATAGACGCAGTTTCAATCTCTCGCCGAATCATGACTCTGACAGTTTGGCTCAAAACACACACAGTCAGGCAACTGCGAGCAAGCAGCATTCCGTAAATGTTCAACACCACGGAGACAAAAGCACTTTCTACCCCCAGCCATGGACAACCACTGCCGCGAAAGCATTCAATAACACGCAGGAAACACAAAGTAATGGCTCTTCGCATCATGGTCAAAACCACAGAAGGAACCTAAGCACCTCTTCTGTAGCCACAGCCTCCGAGCAAAACGAAAACTCAAACTGTTACTTCTGCGTCACACCGAACCAGCCGTCGCAGCCGTTTGTGACCAAGGACAGGAAAATGTCCACTTCTAGCGAACGCTTGTGTCTCAGCCCGCAAACTGTGACAAAAACGCGATATAGTCTGCCCCCGCCTCAACACGCCACTCAAGCGAAGGCTATGGAAGAGCGAGGAACGCCAAATGCAGAAACTCCTTATATGAGTCATGCTGTGAGTAGGATTTCTGAACAGCGCAGGTCGATGCCAGTGCAAGCTCAAACGCCACACGCAGACGTAAAGCATGAGGTGTACAACAGCAAGATCTGCCCTAAAGCCACCCCAATACTCCACTCTCTGTCTATGGACGCCAACACCAACCTGGACGATGGAGGCGACGGTAAGAACATGCAACGTAACGACAGGTTCGCCACAACGTTAAGGAACGAGATCCTGATGAGACGAGCCAAGCTGCAGAAGAGTAAAAGCGCCGCCACTCTCCCCGCCTCCGAAACTGAACTGGAGGAAGATCAAGATGTTTGGAAGTCATCGGAAAACGCCACTCCCACATCCAATGCTTACAAGGACCACCTGAAGGAGATGCAGGCGCGAGTGCTGAAGGCCACGTCGTTCCGGAGGAGAGACCTGGAGCCGGTTCTGTTGGAGAGTTCAGAGCTGTCCACCAATTACACGTCTGTGGCTCGAAAAGAGAGTTCTCTGCCTCCTGTTTCCGAGTCCGTACGAAGCAAATCAGGACCAGTGGCTCGAATCGGAGGACGCAAACGCTTTCCCACAGAGAAAAAGGTCAAATCCTTTTCGGAGCCGGATCAGATTCATCATGTCGGGATGAAGGAAGATCCAAGTTTAGCTGCGACTTCAGGAGCAGCTTCGTATGATCGCAGTGCGGCGAAGAGCCAAACAGACGTCCGGCCCCAATCCTTAGCAGGAAGTCGAGAAACGGGTCCACCTCCAACAAGATTTCCAGAGGAGGAGATTCAGGGAGGCTTATCTGTTCCTGAAAATCAAAGGCTGGGGACTTTTGCAGAGTACGAAGAACGCTGGAGCATACAGAAGAAGCCGGCGGTGGAGAAGAGAGCGTCAGGACGATACAGATCGGCCGATAATATTCTGGATCACGGGACGGAGGAGCGACACCAGAGCAGCAGCGGGTTCCACGAGAGATCCAGGTCCTCTCCATCAGCGGACGTCTTTGCACAGGTCAGACATTCGGGTTGATGTTTCTGCTTATAGCTCTAAACAGATTCATGTATGCGATAAAAACAACAGAATGGAAATCACCCATTTCAGAATCAGTTCAGGTAAATTCTTTCATTGTGGGTAACAGGAAGTCGCAAACTAGGAAATTGCTTTGGTGCAAACAAGTTATAAAATTTAAAATAGAAAAAGGCATGCTTAAAAATAAATACAAATAAAATAAAAGTTGAACTACCTTTTTGTTTGAATATCTCCCTGATGTAAAAATGTAATGCACAAAAATAACTACACATTTAAAAGAAACATAAAATATATAAAACATATTAAAGGTTGGCAAATTGAATACTGAATATGTTTTCCTCTTTCTCTAACTTGTGCATTAGCATCATCTAATGCAAGACCCCAGTCTTAAAACAACAAAAAATAGGAGGGAAAAATAGCTATTGGCCTCAGAAACCCCTTATTGGTGCATTTCTATTTAGAGCCCCTAAAAGTCTATCTGCTTGAGAAGAATAGTTAGAATGTCCCAGACTGTGTTGGATTGGTCATTTTTGCTTTTGAGGGAAAGTTACACTGACCTAACCTGGCAATCCAATGGACTGTAAAGAACAAATCATTGCTTTAACCTCAGAGTGCTTTCTTTCTCTAAACGTGACCAGAGCTTCTTCTCTGTTCATGGTCAGATCGACAACATTAAACCAGGATGTCGTCTTTCATACACATCTGCCTTTACTCTCCTATTTTAGGATTAAGCAGCTTCCCTTTGAGAATCCGCAAAAGCCATATCTTGCATTGAAGCCATAGACTGTATATATTAACGGACGTAGTCAATCCTATCTCCGCCGTTCTAACTAATGGGCCAAAAATTGGGCTCTCATGGAGTGATTCAAAATAGCCGCGGGGGCTGGAAAATGTGAAAAAACGAGCTCCATTGATTTAAACGAGAGACTTCAAGAATCCAAAAAAATTCACTCCCCTCAGCATTGACACACATGTGGAACGGAGCTTTGGGCCAAGAGCCAACTTTTGGACCATCCTGTAAAGACGTTTTCGAGAGGTAAGAAGATGCTATATGTTAGCATTGGCTAATTCTTTTTCCGGGTCCACCCCCATCGGCCCGGGGTGGTATTGCAAGCATGTCAGCGCACATCATTTTGGCCACTTTTGAGCTGGGACCCGCCCCCACTGATTGAAGCACAGGAGCCAAGTCAAATATTAATCCAGTATTTGCCCACAACGACACGCCCTGCAATGAGAGAGGGAGAATCGCACCTGCGGAAACTCTCTGCGGTAAAAAAAAACCCAGACGTTGTTGCTTTTAATTCTCCCGAACCCAGAAGGTAGCACTTTTATCAGGCATGTTGATGTTAGCGTGACCACATGTCTTTGTTTGACTCTTATGTTTATAGAGGTTTCCTGCTCCTTCTCAAAAGTCTGAGAGTGAGTATTCCCAGACTGGGGACCGCGTACCTGCAGAACAGCCCACAGCAGCCACAGGGTGAGTCTCTGTCTTACTCTTGTATATATGTATTTCAACACTATTTTATCATATTTTTTAGCTTTATACCTATGCATTCTGCTTTTTGCATTAACAACTACACAACAATGCCATATTACAAGACTTTATTGAAGTGCCAGTCCCAGTGAGTGGCAGGACTATGCACTCTCAAGACAAAATTCAAATAATTTTTTTTTTTTTAACTAGCCCTGAATCACAAAAGCGGTCTATAAGGACTATACAACATTGTCAATTCACCAACAAGAGATCAGAGAATCAAACACAAGATATTCAGTAATGACCAACAAATAGGCTAGACACTTCCCCCACATTAGAATGAGTCTGGTGTGTGTGTGAATGGTGAATGGTGGTGGGAGGGGCCGATGGCACAGACTGGTTGCCTCGCTTCTGTCAGGGCAGCTGTGGCTACATTAGAGTTTAGAAGTCCTAAAAAAGTGCTATGTAAAACGATGCATTACTCTTATTGACAAACACCAGGAGCCATTGCTTAGTAGGGAGAGTGTCAACCACTGTCCAGATAGACACATTTACTAAATTCATATCAAATGTAAATAACTGAATTAACACTTGATGTAAAACTGTAAAAGTGCAGATAATGTATTTTTAAGCAATAACAATGTGAATACACTAAATATAGATGCATTTGATTATTGCTATTGACAAGACTTGACTCCAAACTGCCTGATAACTTCATATCATGTTGTATGGAGTTTTATTTGAGGGAGTGTGGTGTGTAGACAGTCGATGAACAATAAGGCCTTTATAGTGTGACATCACAGGGAGCGGGGCATCTGTGTAGAGGAAGTGTCTACAAGTGCAGACGCCTCTGGACATCTACTGTCTACTCTAATCTACAAACTGAAAATTGTGTAGCTTTATAATAACCAGAACAAGCCCCAGTTTGTACCTTTTATTGTTGCCGAAAAACAACCTGATATAACAACTTATTTGATCTCTTTGAATATTTTTTTGCACTGAAAGTAACACAGTGGTAAAGAGCAGCCTCGTCTCAGTAAAAAGGTCCTGGGTTCAACTCTTTGAATTTTGCTTGGTCTCTCTTTGTCTGCGCAGGTTTCCTCCGCATTAAACATTAATATCAAAGTGTAAAGGTCGACTAAATCATAGAATTTCAATTTGCAAACAGTGCATTTGTGGCTCGTTGTACAGGCTGATAATGTGATCGCTCATAGTGCCTGTTTTACAAGATGACAGCCAATCCTAAATAATTCTAAATATGATTCTCGTAAGGAAAACATGCACAAGAACCTTTCCCTTTGAGTTTCAGCCTCTGGTTTTGTTTTGAGAGCATTTTTATAGATATTTTCTGTGTGTCATTAAATAGTGTTTTGTGTACAGGGAACCAGCCCTGTTTCCGTGGTTACTGTTTGTTTTGTGGGCACAGTGTTGGAGAGGATTTCACAAGATCGATCATTCCTCAGCCGCTCTGTCAGAGCTCAGGCTGCAGAATCATGGAAACACATCATCAACACTTTATACATGTAGCTGTAATATTGCATTGACATCTGATTGATAGATTATGATGACTCGTTTAGTGAAAAAATAATAAATAAGTCAACAAATGCTCTACAGGTTTGAATCTTCTCTGTTTTTAGTCAATTCTAAAAGCAGATTTGCTGATAGAACCAGAAAATTCTCACCTGAAATGAGAAATGCTACTATTTGATTTAAACTTTAATTACTTTAGGAATTACTATCCCGTTATATACTCTATCATTGTTTTGCAGTGTATTCAAATGGTCAAATATGAACAGTTGTTATTCTATGTGGAGTTTACCATAAAGAACAAATACTAAGCTTTATTTGTGTTCGTTTGGCTCTTAAACCTTGCCTTGGATAAATACACAGTTAACTTGGAAACATAAAACCATGAGTTCTGTTCCACTGAGTGCGGAAAGTTTATGCACGAGTCTATTTTTATCAGTCTCTGCAGCGTCTGCTTCGGTCTCTTGCTGATCCAATAGCTGTTCAGCAGTGAATCCAACTAGGACTACACCATGTTGGACAAAAGGATGATACACTATAGTAATGTCCAAGGTCTACGATAAAAAATAATACATTTACTCCATAGGGAGCAGGATGTCCATGAATATTAATACATCTCCTTTAATGTCCTGGATCATCACTGTCCTCAGAGCCTCCTGCATCAGAGAGGAAAAAGTGAGAAACCTTGAGCAGATTCAACGGATGGACAGACCTGAATATTCTGGATATTATTCCAATAACCCATTAATCATAGTTAATTGATTAACTTGTTCCAGCCCTATCAGTAGCAGTGGTTATGCATGAAACAAACAAGGATTTATCCATTTCATCTTTGCAACATCAATACTGCACTTTTCATTATTCGTATGAGCCGCAAAAAGCCAGATCCAAGACGGTGGACGTCCATTTACTGTGTACTTTAAACCCAATATTTGGCGTCCGTTCTGAACTCGTGTGTGTCATCATCTCTCAATCCTGTGGCACTACTCTCCCAGATGACCTCACACTCATAACCAGTTCTTCAGGGTTCAGTGACGCGGCCTCAGAGTCCCAGAGGTGAAACCTGCTGACAGGTGTAGGGTGTCGTGTGGAGACACCTCTCCATTGTTCTGAATGAGCATTAGCATCAGAGCAACAGCTGCAGAGGCTATTGTCATTCAGAAGTCAAAGGCTCCGCCCATTTCACTGATATCGATACATGAACAGGTGACAGAGCAGCAGCCACAGTCGCACACAGTCACACAGTTACACACACAGCTACACACACAGGCACACAGAGATGACAGCGCTCAGACGGGCTTTCTGGTGAGTTTTGATGCACTTTTTGAGTTGAAACATAGCATTTCTGCACAGTCTTGCAAGTCTTGAATTGGAAAAGTTGTGATATAAAGCTATAAATCAGTGTTGTTGTTGTTGTCAAAAAAAAATAAAAAAAATAAGTATATTCTTAAGTGATATTAAAGATTTGCCCATGAGAAATGCAGTCTTTGCCTTAATGCAAATACAGCAGCCTATTTTTCTTCAGCCTTTTAATTCCAAGTGAGAAATAGCTTGTTTTTTTTAAAGATATAATTTATTTTTATTTTTTTCTGTGAATGTACTGGAGAGCTATGTGTTTTTTTAATTCTACTGCTTGTTATTATCATAGCAGTGTGTTGTGTAACTGGAGTTTGAATCAAATATGCTTCTGCTTTGTTCAACCCCTTTTTTCACAATGTACTTGTTACTTTGATATATTGATATATAAGAAGATGTGGGCTGTGCAGGTTCAAAATGATTCATAAGAAGAAAATATATATGCAGTATTAGTATTCAAGCGAAGCCAGACCTTTTGTTCTTGTTCCATTGGTAACGTACACACATAAATCATTTTTTGTATTGGACAACTTACAGATTAGAAGTGATACATGGAGTAAAGCTTTTTGCTGCTTCTTTGTTAATAGTGGAATATATTCAAGTAGCTTAGTTCTGAGGTCTTGCTATAACATTAAAGGCAGTGCATCTGGTCTGTCCAATGCAATTGCTGTGTCCAATGTAATTGTTGTGATATTTTGACGATAGAATACACGTGTAGTGGCAATTTGTCCTTATCTTACATGTTGTTCTGATACTCTAATGTAGTTCTTTATATTTTGCTAAGTTATTTGTTGGTTTAAGGGCATGTTTGTGTTTCTTTTCGCTTTTTTAATTATCTTTGGTCACAGAGCTATTGCGGAAGCGTTAGGAGCATATGTTGTACTTTATGTTGGTTATTTATGTCAAAGGCTTACACATTACAACATTCGGTTTCATAGTAATTCCTTGGCTTTTTAGTGTCTTCTAGTTCTGCCACAATCATTTTCAATTAATAATTAATGATTGAATGTGGACAAGGACTGTATTAAGCATTTATCTGTATCACCATTTAAAATCAACTATAGCTGTTATTTTCAAATTAACTTGTACAGCTTTTATTCCTCTTTGCCTGGACTTGTACTCTTTATATTCTGACATAATATCTTTGGCATTGCATATAACTTTTCTCACCCTTCAATTATCCAGGTTATGACACTTGAGAGACTGAGAAATCCACTTTAAACTCTGGTCGGAGGCTTGTCTGAACACATCCCCAGTCTGTGTTTTTAAAAGTGTGTGAATTGACATGTGCTTAAGAGCTGCTAATAGATTTTCTCCAAACCATTAACATATGAAATCATTAATCTATGAAAGGATTTCTCACCAGCAGAAATACAAAGCTGGCTTTCTTTTCACAAATCTACCTAAGTAATAGTTATTGTATAGTTGTTATATAACATGGCTGGGAATGTGCAATCACTTGGACATTTAAGGACATTTATATGTGTTGTGTGTTTGTATAATAGCTGGAGGTAAAGAACCTCCATCACATTAACCGCAGACCCAAAGCAGAGCAAACCCAAAGTGGGAAAAAGTGCTTTTGCTCTGTGGGATTATTTATTCCTCTTGCGTCGACTTGTGGGATCCGCGGTATGCGCCTGTGCAGATCTGTGCCATGTCACGTCCACCCAGTTTACCCACAGGTTTCTGCAGCGTATTATTCCATTGAGCTGAAGATGACAGTGTGGTGTCGGGACGTGTCATTAAACACTCATGTCTCTGCTTCCAGGAGGAGCGAGCCGGAGAGGGAGCCTCCCACTGCCACCAGCCCCAGCCTCCAAGATCCCAGAGGAGACCCAAAGACCAGCAGCGCCAGCACGGACTACACTTTAGCTAACTGTAGTGATAGCTCCTGTCTGCCCCCTCTGCCCGCCCCCTTGCCCACAGCAGAGCAGTGCGAGGGGACTGTGGACAAAGGACCAGAAAAGCTCAGAGCATCATCCCACACAGAGATAGGACGAAACAACATGGAGACACGGCGCTCTCCCTCGCCACAGTTCTCCCCACAGAGACTCAGCGACAAACCCCCAGTGTCTCTCCCAGAAGACCCCTCCTCCAACAGGTAACAGAATCTGATAAACCTTAGTGATTTGGGATGTGTCTGGATGCTGTGTGAGACCAGTGTTGTGATCCGCTTCTTGGGACCATGGGAGCAGTCCCAGTCCGTCCAGAGGTTTGTTGACTTGGGACTAATTGAGAGCATCTGTGCTAGCTTGTGACTACACTTTGATATTTATGACTTGCACAAAGTCTGTGCGAGAGCCGTCTGAGGCACGGGAAGAAGCCTGCCGCTGGTAATGAAGGGGTAAAGTCATGTTTAGAAACGACAGAAGCCAAAATAGAGTTAAGCTTGTTTGGGTTTTTTTCTCACCGTCAAGTCTGAGCATGAGTTTAAGAATGTATAAATTCTCATGGGATTTAAGTAATCAGCCACATTTTTTTTGTTTTTCCTTTGATTATTTCTACACACCTGCATTTTGGCTCAATTGGGTGAAACACATGCTATACTCAGATTGATTTCTTTATTCATCCCACCAGAGAGTTTCCCCCACAAATGAAGGCCTCTGATCGGTCAGTCCTTATATGGCTCATATCTAGATTCACAAAACCAATATAAACAGCAGAATCACAGAGGGCGATAAACCATGGATTTAAGCCCAAAATGTGTGTGAAGTCAATAGGAACCAAACTTTGTTCATGAACACTTCCCTATTGGGCTTCATTAGGCTGGAGGGTTAGCATTGTTCATCTGTATCTATGGTTGAGACAAACAAGCGTACTAATTATTAATAAAAGGTTTGCACCAATAAGCATCAGAAAAGTTTTTCAATGATTATTTTTTTTATTTTAGGTTTGAGTCTGTGACAGAAGCTCAGAATCCAGCCGTGAAGAAAGTTCCCATTCGGATCATCCACTCGGAGACAGCTGCAGAGAAGAACTGTCCGTTTCTGAGACACCCAGACCCAGTCCCAACGGAGACCATGACCCGAGTCCCCAGTCTCACCGCCGGGGGCCAGGACTCCGTGTTCTGTGCTTTCACACGACAGAAAGACCTTTACATTAGCACCATCACAGACCAGAACCTGAAGAACCACAGAGACTGCACCTCAGTGGACCAGAACCACCACAGTGACAGTACCTCAGAGGACCAGAACCTCCACAAAGACAGTACCTCAGAGGACCAGAAGAGGGCAGAGCTGGTGCGAGACATCATGGGGAAAGACAGGTCCCTGGTGGAGATCCTGGACCAAAGCCGGATGAGGACCACCATGGACCTGATGGAGGGGATCTTTCCTCAAGGGGAGCAGCTGGGGGAGGCGCCGAGGCGCCGGGGGTCAGTGAAGCAGGCCAGACCAACAGAGACCAGGTCGGTACCCACTTAGAGCTGGGATTCAAAACCAACATCCATCTATTTTCTTCTGCTGTATCCGTTGTGTGTCCGGTCTCTACTGCAGCTTGTGTATTGAATGTTCTGGTGGTTGTCACCGCAGAAAGGAGAGCCCAGCGGCCGTTTCCATGGTGACCAGTGCCACTTACTACAGTACGTCTGCGCCTAAAGCCGAGATGCTGATGAAGATGAAGGACATGCCTGAGGAAGAGGAGGACTCCGAAGAAGAGCTGGACCTAGACCTGGCCAATAAAAAGGTGCCTCCTGACTGAATGAGTCTGGTGTATGTGGTGGGAGGGACTGGTTGCCTTGCTGCTGTCAGTGTGCCCCAGGGCAGCTGGACGGAGTGAGTGAATTATGATGTGAAGCGTCTTTGAGGGTCCAAAAAAGCGCCATATAAAACTATTATAATTATTGTTATTAGTATTGTTGCTGGTGTCTGGGCTTGGCTCTTTCTGACTACAGAAAGATTTTTTAGTTTTCAACAAATTCCCCTTTCATAGCGGTTACTGGAGCTGAAATTTAGATTAATCTAAAATCCCTTTTCACTTTTTTGTTCATCTTTGTACGATATTTTATCTGTGAGTTTGGAGTTACCCCACACTAAAAACAACTTAAGTCGTATATTTTAATAATTGGCTGACAAAAAATTTGTAGGGTAATGAAATGTATTTGTGTGTCACCTTAAATCACAACAGCAGTCGTCTCTGAGGACTTTACAAAGTTGTCAATTCGCAAACGGCAAATCAAAGAATCAGAAATGCAATGATTACACAAAGGAGACATTCGGCTGTCACCTGTCCAGCAGACAGAGGAAAGTTAAAGCTGGTGTACGTAACTCTAAAGCTGGTCTCTGGTCAAACAGAGATTGTATTGTTTGGTGAACCTGATATGTCTGTTTTCAATGGTGTATGGAGCCTGTCCTCTTACTCCTGCCAAAATGCAAAACATCTTGGTGTGTATTTTGACGGTGCTTTTAAAATGAACAAATAAGTGCGTTTGTCAAAGCCAGCTTCTTCCAGTTGAGAGTTTTAACCAAAGTTAAGCGCTGTCGGCCACCAAATGATTTTGAGAAGGTTGTCCACGCCCTAATAACCACACGGCTGGACTATTGTAACTCACTTTACTATTGTATGTACTTTATTTGAACAGGGACAATGTACAGTTAAGCATTAACACAAAAGGCCCTATGCTGACTCGAATGCTGACTGGCACCAGACGACAAGAGCACATCACTCCTGTGCTGTCGTCTCTACATTGTCTTCCTGACGCTTTTAGAATTCAGTTTCAAATGTTATTGTTAGTATTTAAATCACTGCACTACCTGGCTCCATTGTATCTCTCTGACTTGCTTACTTTACACAAAGACAGTACATCAGGCAGAGCACTGAGGTCCTCTGACCGGCTTCTTCTGCACTGTCCCAGGTCTAGACTAAAGACCAGACTCTGGAACGCTCTCCCTTATTATGTCTCGCTCTGGTCTCCCTCTCTCTCTCTCTGGTCTGTCTCTCTCTGGTCTCTCTCTGGTCTCTCTCTGGTCTCTCTCTGGGTCCATAAAGAAACCTCATCAATGTAGTAAGGGAGAAGACTACCACACTATTGTAAAATTTGACTTTATTTTTTATTTTGTTTTCCGTGTTTTTGTCACCGCCCATTGTCCCCAGGTCTAATACTCCTTTTTGTCTTCACAGCAAGAGTTGATCGACAGCCTGACAAAAAAGCTCCAGGTGCTACGGGAGGCGCGGGAAAGCCTCCAGGAAGACGTCCTGGACAACAACGCTCTGGGGGAGGAGGTGGAGGAGCAGGTGCAGGCGCGGTGTAAACCCAACGAACTCGAAAAGTTCCGGATGTTTGTGGGAGACTTGGACAAAGTAGTGTCTCTGCTGCTGTCGCTGTCCGGACGCCTGGCACGAGTCGAGAACGCTCTCAACTGCCCTGAGGAGGACGCCACGGCCGAGGAGAGGGTGAGCACAGGGACGGCAGCACACGGACCACAACACAGAGACCACAGGAAACCAGGAAACACAGTGCAGGGACCAGAGTGCAGCACAGGAAACCAGAATGCAGGGCAGGGACCAGAGTGCAGGGCAGGGACCAGAGTGCAGGGCAGGGACCAGAGTGCAGGGCAGGGACCAGAGTGCAGGGCAGGGACCAGAGTGCAGGGCAGGGACCAGAGTGCAGGGCAGGGACCAGAGTGCAGGGCAGGGACCAGAGTGCAGGGCGGGGACCAGAGTGCAGGGCGGGGACCAGAGTGCAGGGCAGGGACCAGAGTGCAGGGCAGGGACCAGAGTGCGGGCAGGGACCAGAGTGCAGGGCAGGGACCAGAGTGCAGGGCAGGGACCAGAGTGCAGGGCAGGGACCAGAGTGCAGGGCAGGGACCAGAGTGCAGGGCAGGGACCAGAGTGCGGGGACCAGAGTGCGGGGACCAGAGTGCGGGGACCAGAGTGCGGGGACCAGAGTGCGGGTACTCTGGTTTATGTCAGAATAGATGAAGGAAAATTAGTTTTTTACTGTTTCTCCTCATGTTTCATCTCGTTCTCCTCCTCACGCTCTTCATGTTGCTCCTGTTTCTCCTCCTGCAGCGCACTCTGATGGAGAAGCGGAAGTTGCTGATTCGACAGCACGAGGATGCCAAGGAGCTGAAGGAGAACCTGGACCGTCGGGAGCGTGTGGTGTGTGAGATCCTGGGCTCCTCCCTCCACCAGGAGGCGCTCACAGACTACGAGCACTTTGTCAAAATGAAGTCTGCGCTGATCATCGAGCAGCGGAAACTGGACGACAAGATTAAACTGGGAGAGGAGCAACTCAAGTGTCTCCTGGACAGTCTGCCCCTGGACCAGCGCCTCCTCTGACTGTGTTTCTGACTATCCCTGTGCTCTGCGTACCTGTGCTCTGTGTGCCTCTGTCTCTGAACACTGACCACTTCTGGCTGTGTGTATTTAAGCAAAGAACTATTTGAGTTACAATACGTTGTGTGTCCACCAGAGGGAGACACACAGTCGGATGCCAGGCCACGTCTGTCACTAAAATGCAGTTACGTTGAATTTATTTCACTTTTGCTACGAGTCAGACTGATATAATTCCAGTTTGGCTTCTTTGTTTTTAAGTTATACTGTGTGGTTGAAAAGGTTGATGACATCATACTTGGGATTCCTTGTTTTTCACTTGGATTGTTACAGAAAACAATCCAATAATTTGAATTTAATTTGGCCGTCTAATACTTATATCTTTAACAGTTCTTTGCATAAGACACACTTCATTCCCGACAGAGGATAAAATTTACCTTAGCTCACTAATGTTTGATGTTTTGGAGTTAGCTGATGGAGGACCAAACCTCTATGGCTCCAACTTGAACTTTTTAAAATCTGAAGGACTGAAATGACAAAATTACATGAATAGACAAGGACTAATGCCAGAGGCTTTATAGTTCAGCAGATAAGTGTAAAGGCTGAAAGTCTGCAACATCAGGTCCTCATTCAATCACATTTAAGCTGGAGTTGGCTGAAAGACCAGCCACTGCATCCAGAAAACACTTATTTAGTAAATTCTGCCCAAGTGTGATGTCATTATAGAACTTCCCTTTAAGTTTTACTTCAATAATGTCTCAGCTTCTCTTCACAAACAGCATCATGTATTTTCCCAACAGTTTACGTGAAAGAAATATCCATGAAAAACTGCTATTTCTGTAGTTACTCAATATGTGGACTGAATTACAAAAGAGCTGCTTTAATTTTGCATAATGTGACCTGCAGTACATACTTGCATCCACTAGAGGGAGACAAAGACTGCGCCATGAAGCCGACTCCATTTCCATTTTGAGACAGAACGCAATTGGCTGAAAAACATACTGTCCAAGTTTACTCAGCTTCTTCTGAACGTTCAAATACGTCTTATATGCTTGAAAAAAAAATGCATGTCGTGTGTATTTTGAACAAGATTTGCCTTTAGAACGAACTTGTTTAAATCAATCATTTCCTGCCTTGTTTCATTGGTGAATCTTGTTACTTCCAAACACGTATGAACTGATTTTTGCTCAGCCTCCACATGAACTGCTGCAATCTCACCTTTTCTAACCACCATTTATGTTTTGTTTTATGACGTTTTTGTGGTTTTTTTTTCTTAGTAATTTATTGTAGCCTTTTGAATCTGCACGGAGACAACAGTATTTTTGCCATTTCAGTTTCTACGAAGAGTATTCCTCACGATTCAAGTCCACATTGTTACAAAACTAACCATAGGACTGTGTTTCAGTCAATGCTGCGAACAGATGTTTAGTGGCCTTTTCCCTGAGATGATTGTGTCCCTGATCCACACTGCAACAATAATAATAAAACACCTTGATATCAGCTTAAGCTTCTTTCATTTTGATCATATTGTGGCTGCTTTTGCGAAGATCTGCTGTTGGAGCAAGAACATTATTTTGGGCTTTCGACCCCAACATTGTATAGTACCTTCATTAAAAAATTTACTACATCCAAGCTGCCTGCGCCGTGTGGCCTTGGTCCTGGGTCTACAGCCTCAGTCCTGCATCTACAGCCTCAGTCCTGGATCTACAGCCTTAGTCCTGGATCTACAGCCTTAGTCCTGGATCTACAGCCTTAGTCCTGGATCTATAACTCGTCCGTCCTTGGGAGCAGATCCCTCTCCCAGGCCTCGTTTCGACTGAGACCAGGCGGAAGAGACAAACTAAGGAATAGAATTCTCCTCCGCGTAGCACTCGAAGCACACATAGATTATTACCCGCCGCCATTGTTGTTTACGTTCATTCTTGGCTTGGTTCTATTCCACTGGAGGCAGTTTCTCAACGCTTGTTTTTTTACCTGAAATACTGACTTCATGTGAATGAAAGGCCAAACCGATACCCAACTCTATCGTTTTACTGTCGCAGCATCCTTGTGGAAAAGGCCTTTCAATGTGGACCTCCCTGAGGATTCTCACTTTTCCCACTTTTTTTTTAGTTTTTCCTCTGATGCAGGGTCTGTGAGACTGTTAAAGGGTCTAACTAAAAGTACTGATACAAGACACTCAACATTTATCAACACTTATGGGCATTGGTCATCTGCCCCTTAAGACTGACACCAACGTGTTTCCTGTTTTATTTCTTTTGTTTGAACTGTTTCATTCGCTGATCTGTGTAGGGAAATTCAACGGTTTTGTAAAGTCCTCAGCTGTGATTTAGGGCTATACAAGTATAAATTCAATTCAATTCCATACATTTGTGGAAAGTCACAACAGCCGTCATCTGGGACTTCACAAAGAGATCAGAGAATCAAACAACACAATACTAACAAACAGGAGACAAAATCTAGTCAAGACGAAAAATAGACTGAAAAACTTGTCCATGTTTTTGCAGAAACTCACCTTTGGACACTGTGCTGGTTCTGGAGGCTCTGGTTCTGGTGAAGGGTCTTGTTCAGAGCCTGTGATCCACAAACTGATGCAGTGTTTCATCTATGAAACTCCTGAGAAGCGAGGAGTATGAAAAGAGAAGGTGGCAGAGTGAAGGTGGAGGAAAAATAAATAAAACTGTCAATGCTGAAATGTATAGCATCACAACACAATTAGGAAAAATCTGGAACAGTGACGTCTCAAAACTAATCAACCAAAACAAAAATATTCTAAAAGTCCTCAACCATTGACACCATTTTAAACCCTGATTTTAGCATGTCTCTCTTAACCTTCACAGACTCCCTCTGTGAGGATTTTGCAGATAAATACAATCAGATGTAACATCTTATCCAACCACACTGCTGTTTTTAACACATCTGATTGTTTGTCTTTGCCAGAGGAAACACTGGACAGTTTTGTCTTGGTTAAAGCGCTGCTTTTGATACAGTAGAACACACCATTCTTTTCATCCCGCCTGAAACACCTTGGCCTCTCTGGTGCTGTCCACAAATGGTTCACTTCATTTTTAACAGACAGATCTTTAATGTTAAGTTTGGATACCTGCTCCTCTCAGGTCCGTAAACTCACATGTGGTGTGCCTCAGGGTTCCGTTTTAGGTCCAGTCCTTTTTAACCTGCTCCCTCTGGACGGTGTCATCAGGAGACATGGAATTACCTTCCACAGTTATTTAGACAGATAGACTTAGACTTAGACAGACTTTATTGATCCACAAGGGAAATTGCGTTGTCACGTTGTATTTCACAATTAAAAAATATATAACGTTAAAGTAACAATAAAAATAAATAAGATAATATAGATGGATAGATACCTTTATTGATTCCCGTAAGAGAAATTCATGAACACATTTGTACATCAATTCTAAACATGTCAAACTAACAAACATTTCTAACTGATTACCTAATGATAGTGCATATTTTTTAAACTCATCCAGGTCTGTTGTAAAAAAAAGATTCTCTTGAAACGTTCTGTTCGGCAGTGATGGGAGCTTGTTCCTACGATTACTCCTCTGAGCGGCCATAGTGTCATGCAGAGGGTGTCTGGAGTTACCCAGGATGCCCTGCATTAGCGCCCTCATCCTTTCACAGATGACACTTAGCTGTACATCTCCATGTCTCCTGATGACACCAGATACTCTTTTTAACTGCCTTTTAGACCTGAAATTGTCTCCAGCTTAACCAGGACAAAAGTGAGGTTTTAGACATCAGTCCTGAGGCCCAAAGAGAGAAACTTTTACCAAAACTCCAATCACACTCTTTTTCTCCATCATCACTGGTCGTAATTAAAAAAACAACATTTCAGGTTCAATTACTCCAAAACTCTGCAGCACGTGTCCTGACTAAAACCAGGGGCCGGACCTCATTACACCGGTTTTAAAATCGCTGCATTGGCTCCCTGTGTGTTTCAGGATTGATTTTAAAAATGGTTTTTAAATGTCTTAATGGTCTTGGACCTTCTTATCTTTCAATTGCTTTTATCCTATGAACCCTCCCGGCCCCTGCGCTCCTCAGTCAGCAGACTCCTAAACATTCCCAAAGTCAGGACACACACTCACGGCGAGGCATCTTTCCAGCACTACGGCCCCCATCTCTGGAACAGTCTGCTGGAGGAGCTCAGGGCCGCAGAGAATATGTTTTTAAAGGCAGGCTCAAGACACACCATTTTAGATTTGATTAAGTTTACTATTTATTATTTATCATAACATTTGACTTATTCTATTTAACTTTTAGATATATTTTGTATTTCAGTTCTATTCGTTATTATTGATTATACTGTATGTATTGTGAGAGTTTCTCCTTTAGTCTCACATTTTAATGTTTTCCTTTTTTATGGTATTGTTTTTAGTGTCCCCAGTGTTTCCTCTGGTGGGGCCCTCTGCACTGGGAGCAGTGGTCTGCTGTGGACAAGGGGGTCTAGCTCCTGGACCTGTTGGGGGCCTGGAGCCTCGGCTTCATGTCTCCTCTGGGTCCTGTGTCGTCCCGTGTGGCTGCAGACGCTCTCTGCTCCTGGTGCAGACGGCTCTTTGGACGGCGCTTCTTCAGCTGGTTACATCTGCACCCAGCCAAGACTCTCTTCATGGTTTTTCCGTCTTTCTGTCTGTCTGTAATGTATGTACATGTGGTTTGGGGAGGGTCTGTTGGGTGGTCGGGTTAAAGGGTCCTGGACACGTGGGATTGTTTTCAACTAAACTGTAAAGCACTTTGTGTTGTAACTTCTGTATGAAAACACTCAAATAAATACATACATGTAATTGATTAATATGAATGTAGGTTTTCTAATCTTGAATATAAAGTGGTTTGATTTCTGCTCAGGTTGGTCTAAAACATAATTATGGATGATTTCAGAGCTTAACAACAGTTTGTTTCTGAGGGAGAATACTCACCTCTTTACAGATATAACTTAGCACTTAGAGCTAAGTTGGATATGCTTGTTGCATGTTTGCAAAAAATTTGGACCAACAGACGGAATTCAGCTTTGAGTAAACTATGAGAAAATTCATACATTTTGTGGATTTCATTGTTTTATCCGAGAATCAGTAAATCATTTTGTGGATTTCATTGTTTTATCCGAGAATCAGTAAATCATTGACTTTGGACCGTCCAAGATCATTAAAGGGTCATTAAAATAACTTTAAATATTAAATGGCTGTATTTGTTTATCGAGAGCCTGAGGTAAATCCTTCTCTGCAGTGAGTGATGTTTGAATGTGAGATCACAGCAGCTGAACAAACACAATGTTTCAGATAAAGTTTATACAGGTGTTTACAGCTTCAGCACAGGTTTAAGATAATCATTAACTTCAGCTCTGAGTTTCCGTTGCAGCCGAACAGCCTCAAAAGCAGCTCTGACTCCAACACTGCAACAAGTCTAACACAAAAAGATTTTTTTTTTAACTTTATCATTTCTTTTCTGTCGCTGGAGACGACTGTCGCTCATGAGAAAGAGGCACTGAGGTAAGTTTCTAATCGACTTGATATTACCCTTCACCTCATACCTGCTGAGTACATGTCACTTGGTTAAAGTCTTTTTTAAGACTTAAAAAGAAGATTCGCTGTTGGACAAAGCTGATAGCAGCAGAGCAACCATTCTTCTCATCGGTTTTGGTCCATTTATGGCAGAAACTCTGAACTCTCTACAGCAGAACTGTGTAACTGCAATTTTGCGATTGCAAATTAAACAGATGAAGCCAATCTCGACATGGTTTTCCTTTTCCACTGAATAAATCAGGTTTAAGAGCCCTCCCCTCATCCTGGATATTTATTGTTATGTTGTTTGGCCAATGTTTCCTTTGATTGAATACATTTTGTAGTCATTTCATTCTTAGTTTTTTAGTTTTTCTAATGTTGGATTTCAGTATGGATGCAGCTGTCGGCAGGATTACTGATACAGTGGTTCCCAAACTGGGAGCTACAGGCAGAGGGTGTACTAATTAGTATTAGTTAGTTCTCGGTCCCACAGTGCAGTTGTGTTGGGGGGGTGGGGCGAGCCGTTAAAGAGTAGTATCTTAATAATGTTATAATTCTTTAGTCTTTCATTTTATGCTGAAACCTTGAAATATATGTTATATTTGATGTCACATAAAAGAGGAACTTTTGGGGTGACACATGCAGTAATCATCAGAAGACAGCAGGGGGAGTCAAGAGTCTGCCGTCTTTTTGGAAAGAAAAAATGGGATAATTGCTCACTTCAATAACATGGATTATTCAAGCTTTAGTCGTTGCTGTGTCACGGGGCAGCTGCCTGAGAGACACAGACCTCCTTCAGCTCATCTGGGAGAATCCTGAGGCATTCCCAGGCCAGCTGGGTCTGTCTCTCCTCTTGTTTTATCATTTTATATATATTATTATTATGACATATCCTAACACCTTTTGTTTTTCCTGACCTGGCTTTTGTCACGTGTGTCAGAATGTAGGTGGCTCTGGGACCATAGACCGTAAATATTAACAGAACTAGTCCCGCATATATCCGCCGTTAAAACTAATGTGTCACCACTATCGCCGTCTATGGAGTTTTTCCAAAATGGCTACGACTGCATTTGCGCATGCGTTAGCCGGAATGAGTCCATAGCGACCAAACTAGTACTCACCTCAGCGTAGAAACACATCTGGAATGTAGCGTCGGGCCAAGAGCTGACTTTTGGACCATGCTGTAAAGCCGTTTTAGAGAGAAAAGAAGACACCATACAGAAGCATTGGGTAATTCTCTTTCCGGGTCCACCCCCACCGGCCCGGTTTGAGATTTTAAGCAAGTCAGCGTACGTGCTCATGGACGTGCTCATTTTGAGTCGGGACCCAACCCTCAACTGCATCAATTTATTTGTGTACAGCCCTAGATCACAAATGAAGTCGTCCCGGGGGACTTTATAACATTGTAGATTTCTCAACAACAGATCAGAGAATCAAACACAAGCAATAGTTACACTTTTTTTATTGGCCCCCAAAAGGTAATCCATTGCCGTAGTAACAGCAACCGGGACAAAATACATATATCTGTATATCTGTATATACAATGTACATATATCCGTATACCTGTATCAGTGGGGGCGGGTCCCGGCTCAAAAGTGGCCAAAATGACGTGCGCTGACATGCTTGCAATACCACCCCGGGCCGATGGGGGTGGACCCAGAAGAAGAATTAGCCAGTGCTAACATATAGCATTGGCAGACCTCTCAAAAACGTCTTTACAGGATGGACCAAAAGTTGGCTCTTGGCCCAAAGCTCCGTTCCACATGTGTGTCAATGCTGAGGGGGGTGGATTTTTTTGGTCCACTCTAGTTTACTCGCTGTGAATTTCTGAAGTCTCTCGTTCAAATGAATGGAGCTGCGCCGGCTGACGCATGCGCAGATGCGTTTTTTCACCATTTTCTTGTGGGCGGGACGCGAGTATTTTATTCGTAGGTAGGTTCTGCCACAGGGACTGATTTCAGCCAATCAGAAAGCTAGTCTGAAGTGACGTGTTCAACGCGCCGGCAGACGACGGTGAATTACATTAACCTAATAATAAAAACAATGTTTATCTTTTATGTGTTCATTCATTTAATACAAACAATGTTTATCTTTTATGTGTTCACACATTGAAAAAAAACATTTCCCATACTAGGCAAATGTGGATATAAACATTGCACGACTCGAGAGGCAGCACGACAGAGAGGAGCAAAGTGGTCACGTTGCCAAAAGCCGCTGATCAAAACAGGATAATGAAAAACCAAAACAACAGCTAAACCAGGACTAAATCAGGACTGACACCGTGCTTGTGAACATAATAAAGTGACATGTTACAATCGGTGAACTCAAGTGTTGATGTAAGGATGTAATGTGTCCGTGCGCCAACAGAGGGCGCCCTTTGTTTTCTTAACTATATAAGCCCTCCGCAGCTTCGCAACGCTGCAGTTCTCTTTTGTTTTTATGAAGGTAAGGAGGGCTCCCGAGTGTACAATAAGTTTATTTGTGTATAACTGTATGTTGGGTGCCAAATATTGATTGTGGGTTAGCATTTTGTCATTGTACATTTAGGCTGTTTCTCTGTTAAACTTAAGTGGGAAAAATAACTTTGTATTTCGTTTTTAGAGTGCTAGCTTGCACGTGTCCTTGTTAGCATGTGGACTTTACAATTCAGCCTTTGAATGTACAATTTATTACTGCAAAAACAGTTACAATTTCTTCTTAATGAGGCAGTTCTCTTTTGTTTTTATGAAGGCAATAAATGAGGAACGTCTGTTCAGCCTCTTCCACCATTGACTCCTGGTTTCCCTATCCGCACTGCTGGCCCCTGACCAGTAACACAAACAACACAACGCAGAGATCACACTTGGGGCTTGCCATCGCTGAACTAGGGTTACATCTTTGGTGCCGTGACCCGGATGGTGGTTTATAAGAGGAAGAGCGGACAACTCTGTGGACTGTTAACATCATAATAAGCTGTATCCTCAGTTTTCAGTTATATGCTCTTTATTACATTATTTTTTTCTCATTGTTGAATAGTGCTTTGTTATGTGATTGAATGCTATGTTGTGAATATTTCTGTAATATTGATTCATCGGTTTAAGAGATTGATATCACGTTATAATTAATCAACATGCAAGGTAATGTGCAAAACCTCCATGAAGATACTCCTCGACGCCCCATTCCCACGATTCCCCCTGCGGTGAGGCCAAAGTTATACCGCCAGCCAGACAGACCAGGTGGGGCAGAAGGAGAGATCCAGACTTTGGACCAAACAGTTATTTTGATGAATCCGTCTGAGCACTCGGAGCAGTATGCCCAACAGCATGAGGCATTATCACCCTGGAATATGGCATATAATGCTCTGCCCACGCCTCCACAGTCTAACCCTCTTCACCTCAATCTGATGACTGGGGGAACCCCCGTGCAGGTACCAGAACGCCATGTCCACACACCCAGTTACCAATATCCCCAGGGCAGTTACGGTGGGCCAATGTTAACTGCTTTTGAAAAGTACCCACAAAACACAGGCATTATTAGTCCGGGTAGTATGGCACCTCATGCCGCTGTTCTAAGCCAGCAACCAGTGAGGGTTAATAACACACCTGCTACCCAAGCCGCTCTGCACGCTAATCAAACATACCCATCCATCGCACAACCAGCTCCATACCACATGCAGGCTAGCGCCTATCCACATGAGTGTGCAGGGATCCAGGCGCCTCCCCCTTTCCAGCCCAGCCAATTTCACTCAGTTTCATCAAGTAAAAAATGTGGCCATTTTCAGTGGTGGGGCAGACTGCAGAATACTGATTGAGGACTGGATCAGAGACATGCAGTATCTTTTAGATGCAGGTGCCCTACCATCCCACCTCAGTTTTGCAACCATTGTCAGGCATTTGAGTGGAGAGGCACGAAGGCTTGTTCTAAACCTCCCCCCAATAGAGCAAGTCCCGGGGAGGGCTTTTGATGAACTACGGTCAGAATATGGTGACATGCAGAGATCTCTGGATCCCCTGGCCGACTTTTATGAGAGAACCCAACGTTCAGGGGAGACAGCCTGTTCTTTTGCCATTGCTTTAGAGGCCACGCTCAGAGAAGTGGAAGACACCCAAAACAGGGGCCGACCATTCCCAGATCGTGATGCAAAACTGGTGCGACAGTTCATGAGGGGGTTGATTGAAGAGGATGTTTTTTTGAGGATTGCTCCCATGAAGCCGAGAATGCTATGCTTTCGGGAGCTACAGAACGAGCTCAGGAATATAGCCAGAGAAGCCAAGAAGTTCAACCAGCCGAGGCAGAAGAAGACTTTCAGCCAGGTCCAGACTGTCACAAATAGGCAAGTAAGTGGAGCAACTGAGAGAGCTGAAACGGGGAAGCAATCTTCTGAGTTACGTGAACTTACAGACCTCGTGAAAAGTATCGCACTGCATCAAGAAGAACAAAGTAAAAGGCTTGCTCAGTTGGAGACAAAGTTTACCCCTCCCACCTCACCATTCAAGCCGAATTTAGGACCCAGAGACCCTAGCCGAAGAGCCACCATAGTGTGCCACCGCTGTGGCAGACCTGGACACTTGGCCAGGTCCTGTAGGGCGGTGCTACCTGAAAATGAGCCCTCTACCAGTGCTGGATCGTACGCCACTGTCACATCGGATAGTGGCGCTATCACAGGTGGCCAGCCTTTAAACTCCTAAAGCCTGTGGTGACTGGGGCAACCATGGGCATGCATCTGATCCCCCAAAAGGAATTGGAAACCCCACTTGTCGGACCTTTAAATGAGGGACAGGTTGAAGTTAATGGAATGTCCTGTAAGGCGCTCATTGATTCTGGTTCTCAAGTGACCACCATCACAGACACTTTCTGGCGCTCACACCCTGAGCTGTGTATGCAGGAGATACAAGAGTCTAGCATCCCAATGGAGGGGGCTGGAGGCCATACTATTCCCCATTTTGGTTTTTTATACATAAATCTCAAGATTCCGGGGAAAGACTTTGCCAATGTGCCTGCTTTTGTTGTTCCGGTAACAGAGTACCGGTCTGGAGTTCCATTGTTAGTGGGTACTAATGTCATACGGGCCTCCAAAAGCCATTTTGAATCCCAATATGGAAAACAATTCCTGGTTATGGTACAGGAGAAGCACCCAGAATGGTACTCTGCCTTGACAGAGGTGAGTGGCACAAAACCTTGTGGTTTCGACGACCGCATTGGCCCTGCGGTTTATACTGGCAGTAAAATGTGTGTCCCTGCAAGCAAAGAAATGAACGTGATGTGCCGGGTAAAAGGGGGGCCAAGAAAGAAAACGTACACTGCGCTGATTGAATGTAACGTAAATTCTCAGCTGCCAGAGGGCCTAGTAGTGGGCAGAGTGCTTGCCTATGTCAGGAAGGGCGTCGTTCCAGTCCGAGTAATGAACCTCTCTGTCCAGCCAGTGTTGATTAAACCACATACTTGTCTTGCAAATGTTTTTCTCGTTAGAGATGTGTTGCAGTGGAGTAATGAGGGGGAGTGCTCTGGGGATTCCAAGATGGAAACATGTCATATTCAAGATCAGATTGTGCAGGCGACTCAGGGCAGGGACACTGTCACATGTCCAGTGGATCTAAGTGGGGCTGCAGTGGAAAAGGAGGAGCAGAGGGAAAGCTTGAGGCAACTATTGCTAAAGAACCGTGATGTATTCTCCCAACATTCCATGGATTTTGGGCACACAAAGACAGTACAACATGAAATCCCTCTGATTGATCCCAAGCCGTTCCGTCTCCCCTATCGGAAAATACCACCTGCTCAATGGCAAGATGTCCGCAATCTTTTAAAAGACATGGAAGACACCGGTGTCATCCGCCCAAGTAAGAGCCCGTATGCGTCACCCATTGTGGTTGTAGTTAAGAAGGATGGGACGTTAAGGATTTGCGTCGACTACAGGAGGTTGAATTCCTGCAGTACAAGGGACGCATTCCCTCTTCCTAGGATCAAAGACGCTCTGGAAGCTCTTGGACAAGCACAGTATTTTTCCACCTTGGACTTGACATCGGGGTATTGGCAGGTGGAGGTGGCAGAGCAGGATAAACATAAAACGGCTTTCACCACGCCTATGGGCCTCTTTGAAGCAAATCGTATGCCGTTTGGCTTACAGAATGCCCCATCAACATTCCAGAGGTTGATGACCTGCTGTTTTGGAGACTTGAACTACTCGCACCTCCTTATCTACCTTGATGACCTCATAATATTTTCCAAGGATTTTGAGGGACACCTGCAACGCCTGCAGTTGGTGTTTGACAGACTGCGTAAACATGGCCTTAAACTGAAACCCTCAAAATGCCACTTGATGAAAAAGGAGGTCCAATACTTGGGGCATCGGGTGTGTGCAGAAGGTATCCGCACTGACCCTGAAAAGATAAGCAAGGTGAAGGACTGGCCACAGCCAACAAACCGTAAGGAGGTCCTTCGTTTCCTGGGGTTTGCGGGGTACTACAGGAGGTTTGTGGAGAGCTATGCAAAGATTGCTGCACCCCTCTACCGCCTCACTTCTGGTGACCCCAGAAAGAAAAAAAGGGGTACGAAAAGAACCACTGTACCTGACCCTCCCTTTCTATGGACTGATGAGTGTACAAGATCATTTACCACCCTGAAAGAAAAACTCACATCAGCTCCATTACTTGGATACCCGGACTACACACTGCCATTCGTGCTGCAGACTGATGCCTCCGGAGAAGGCTTGGGAGCGGTCCTGGCGCAAGTTCAGAATGGGGTCGAGAAGGTCATAGCTTATGCTAGTCGAGGTTTAAGTCCACCAGAAACCCGTTATCCAGCCCACAAGTTAGAGTTTTTAGCTCTAAAGTGGGCTGCGACTGAAAAGTTCTTCGACCATCTCTATGGACATAAGTTCTCTGTGCTGACGGATAACAACCCTTTGAAATATGTCATGTCCACTGCCAAGTTGGACGCCACTGGTCAGCGATGGGTATCACAGTTGTCAGGCTTTGATTTCGACATTCAGTATCGTCAGGGAAGGAATAATGCTAATGCAGATGCGCTCTCAAGAATGTCATGCAATGATGTGGCTAGGGCCCTGTCGTGCCCACAGAGGGTGGCAGAAGAGTCTGAGCCTCCTGTGCCCAGTCAAGAGTCAGAGCCCTACGCTGATACTGGTACTGAATGTCTCCCATCAATGACCAAGCAGGACATCCGGGCGGCTCAAAGGGAAGATCTTGTTGTGGGACCAGTGTTGAGCTACAAAGCAATTAATTCCAAACCAAGCAAAAGAGAGAGAGAGGCTTGGGGAGGACAGGCCTCCCTTCTCCTAAAAGAGTGGAGGAAGTTGGTTGTGAGAGATGGAGCTCTGTATCGCACAGTCCGGGACAGTCGTAAAGGAGTCATCAATCAGTTGGTCCTACCTCAGAATCTTCAGACAGGAGTGATGACTGCCCTGCACAATGAATCAGGGCACCTCGGGTTTGAAAGAATTTTTGCTCTCATAAGAGAACGTTTCTTCTGGCCAAGGATGTTTCAAGAGGTTAAGATGTGGTGTGAGCGTTGCGAGCGTTGCTGTCTTCGAAAGACTCCTGCTGGTCTCCATGCCCCGCTAGTCAGTATACATACCTCTGCCCCCATGGAGCTGGTGTGTATCGATTTCCTCATACTAGAGAAGTCTGTGGGTCAAATTGAGAATGTGCTTGTGGTGACAGACCATTTCTCCCGCTTTGCCCAAGCATACCCAACAAGGGACCAGAAGGCCTCCACAGTGGCTAAGGTGCTTTGGAGAAACTTCTTTTGCCGGTTTGGTTTCCCAGCAAGGCTTCATTCCGACCAAGGACGTAATTTTGAGAGTGCCATAGTTCGAGACCTTTGTAAAATCACAGGCATCACCCAAAACCCACACCAGCCCATACCATCCTCAGGGAAATGGGATCACAGAAAGGTTCAATCGCACTCTCATGAATATGCTTGGCACGGCTGGAGCCTCCTCTGAAACCTCGTTGGAGCGAGTATGTTGATGCAATGACACATGCATACAATTGCACTCAACATGATTCGACAGGCTACAGTCCCTACTATCTAATGTACGGCAGGCATCCAAGACTTCCTGTCGATCTGGTCTTTGGTCTAACATACGGCAGCAACCCCTGTGAATACAGCGATTATGTTCAGGACCTCAAAGACTGCCTAAAGCATGCTTACGCTCAAGCCAACATAAGCTCCAGACAAGCCAAGCTGCAGCAAAAGAAGCATTATGACAGCAGGGTCAAGAAAAGTCTTACATTTGCTCCAGGAGACATTAGGTTTTTTCCCTTGGAGTCTGAACTAATCGGCAGATGAGGTGGAGGGATGGAACTGAGGGTGTCAATGATTCAAGGATTGACTCTGATGAGGATTGCGGGGAGGAGGATCCATTGGAGGATATGGAGGAAGAAGATAATGCACCAGTGGAGATTCAAAATACTGAAATGGATATTTCTGAATGTGCTGTGGGCAGAAGAAACCCCCTAAGGAACAGGCAGCCACCCAAAAGACTGTCCTTTCAATTGAGAGCGATGCACAATGAAACAGTCCAGCAAAAGATTTCCCGAGGTCGCAAAATATGGCAAAGGGTCAAGGAGAAACGCAACTTTCTTAATAGAGAATAATACCCCCTCCAACTTTTCTCTTATTCATTCAAAAGAGACTTTCACCCTGTATTTTATTGTGTTATTTTGTTGTTAAGATGTCTGAGACGCCATCAAACAAACTGGGGGTGGATGTAATGGAACAGAGGGCGCCCTTTGTAACTTGTCCGCAGCTTCGCAACGCTGCGCCATGACTCCCGAGTGTAGGTGTATAACGCCAAATTTGTTTTCTTAACATATGTTTCTCTGTTATAAGTGGGAAAAATAACTTTGTATTTCGTTTTTAGAGTGCTAGCTTGCCGCCTTGTTAGCTTCTTTACAATTCAGCAAAATTAATTAATGCAAAAACAGCAAATTTCTTCTTAATGCAGTTCTATTTGTTTTTATGAAGGCA